GTCTCTCTCTCTCTCTCTCTCTCTCTCTCTCTCTCTCTCCCCCCCCACCCCATGCTCTCTCTCTTTCTTTCTCAAAATAAATAAATAAACTTGAAAAATAAAAGGTTACTAGCATGTCTATCTCATATATACACTGGAGAAACTCAGGCATAATAACTCAAAGGTTTGGCTAAAGCATGGGCTTATACAGCATCATAGCAAGGAAACAATAAATCTTTAGAGACGTGAGAAGACAAAAGAAAAGAATCGTGAGTCTCTAGGGGTAGCACATTGTAAATATAAGCGGGCCTAATGGAAGATAACCGAGCTGGTCAGTAAGGTTTTTGATGTGTGCTCTCTTGTACTGTTTCTGGGCTGATAAATGTCTAGGGTTGTCAATGATTAATTGATATCTTGCTTTTAGGCAAATAGGGAAAGGACAGAGAGGTTTTTTGTTTTTGTTTTTGCTTTGTTTTGATCTGCTTCTCAATTGCCTTCAGTTCAAAACAATCATTGTGTGAAAGTGGTATGTTTTGGGGTGGCAAATTCTGCTATCCTTCACAGCATTATTCATAGTAGCCAAAAAGTGGAAACAATCCAAATGTCCATCAACTGATGAATGGATAAAGAGAATGTTGTATATCCACACAATTGATATTTATTTGGCAGTAAAAATAAATGAAGTATTGATACATACTATAACATAGATGAACCTTGAAAACATGCTAAGTGAAAGAAGCTGCATATTGTATGATTCAATTTACATGAAATGTCCAGAATAGGCAAATCCACAGAAACAGAAAAATACGGATTAGTGTTTGCCATGGGCTGGGGGTGAAGGGGTGGTAATTGAATGAGGAATAACTGCTAACAGGTACAGAAGTTTTGGGGGTTTTTTTGTAGCATGATGAATGATGAAAATGTTTGGAATTAGGTGGTGGTAATGGTTGCAAAACCTGGTGGCTATATTTAAAAATTTAAATTATACACTAAAGGATGAATTTTATGGTATATGAATTATATATCAATGAACAATACAGGGGCACCTGGGTGGCTCAGTCGGTTGAGCGGCCGACTTCGGCTCAGGTCATGATCTCGCGGTCTGTGGGTTCGAGCCCCGCGTCGGGCTCTGTGCTGACAGCTCAGAGCCTGGAGCCTGTTTCGGATTCTGTGTCTCCCTCTCTCTGACCTTCCCTCGTTCATGCTCTGTCTCTCTCTGTCTCAAAAATAAATAAACGTTAAAAAAAATTTTTTTTAATGAACAATACAAAGAAATTGCTATATTTGAAAATTTCATGTCCTTCTAGTGTTTCCTGTAACAATTTGGATCACTGAAATGGAAATATTTACAAAATATATCTACTTAAGTTGATTTTTTTTTTTAAATAAAGAAGTCAGTTACAAATGCCTACATGCTTTATGATGCCATTTATATGAAATGTCCAGAACAGGACAATATATAGAGACAGAAAATAGATTAGTGGTTGCCTAGATTGCAGAGTTTCTTTTGGGGAGGTGATGAAAATGTTGTAAAATTGATTATGGTGATGGTTACACAACTCTGAATATATTAAACACCAGTGATTTGTATACTTTATTTATTTATTTTGTACACATTTTTTATTTTTTAAAGAATTTTTTTTTAGTTTTTAAAGTTTATTTATTTGTTTTAGAGAGAGAACAAGCAGGGGAGTGGCAGAGAGAGGGGAGAGAGAGAATCCCAAACAGGCTCTGCACTATCAGCACAGAGCCCCTCTCTGGGGCTCCATCCCTCTAACCATGAGATTATGACCTGAGCTGAGATCAAGAGGCAGATGTTTAACCGGCTGAGGCACCCAGGCACTCCAATCATAAAATCTTAAAAAAAAAAAAAAAAAAAAAGCTTCCTGACCCATTGCCACAAAGTGATTTATAGAATAATGATTTGGAGAGGTTCTTAACTGGAAGAGGCATCTAGAACATGGTAACATCAACTATAAATAGACTTGTAAAACTAATAGATAGAATGCATCATTAAGGAATATCCTGTATTTTTTGACACCCAGCCTATGTATCCACTATAAACAGGTTTTATTTTTTTATTTTTTCTTTTATTATTATTATTATTATTATTATTATTATTATTATTATTTTAACTAGGCTCCACACCCAATGTGGAACTTGAGCTCATGATAGGAACTCCTGACCCTGAGATTAAGAATCGTATTGTTCTACCAACTGAGCCAGCTAGGTGACCCTATAAACAGGCTTTTAAGTTCAAACCAGAGAAATTCCTTCATTCTTTTTAAACATTTCCCATTTCCTTTGTTCTATCTACTCATTCTAGAAAATTCAGACAACTTAGAAAGTTGTAGTGGAAGTAAATTTACTTGAAATCCTGTCATTATTAAAAATACTGTTAACATTTGATAAAGATCCTTGTAGACATCTATTTAGTATAAACATATACTAAATAGTAAATGCTAAATATTTACTGTTTTATGTTAGTGGATTTACACTATATATATTGTGGAAAAACGAGACTTGGCATTGTATTTGGTTATGAGTCTGTTAGAGGCATTTCTTTTACTTATAATTTGCAAGCCTTCCAAGAGAAAACTAGATCCAAGATCTATAATTGGATCTAACTAGAGAATTTATACAATATCTATAGTTAATTGATAAAATTAATATAAAGCTAGTAAGATAATCTTAATAGCTTATTTGATTAATGCACACACAATTTGTGAACTAGTAATAATCCAATAATAGGCATATCTATGATTCTCTTTAATTCTGGAAATCATAAAGATTTTGCAGTTAGCCTTAAGTCTTGGAGTTAAGGGGCCACATTCCAGAATGGTAAAGACAGACTCTGTAACATAAAAGTTTGACAAATCTACTACTACTACTACTACTACTACTACTACTACTACTACTAATCCATATCTCTTTACATGATATGTCAAGAAAACATAACAGAAAATATGAAATGTATCATGGAGAACAGAAATAACCAAATTTAATCTTACTTAAGTCTTTCACCTTAGCCTGATTAGCCAGATAAAAAGGATCTGTATTTACCTTCCTGATATTCTTATCTTTTAGGTTTCTTATAAATACAGAGAAAAACAATTTATAGCCTAATGTCTAGATAAACAAAGTGCCTTCATGATGTTTACCCAAGCCTTAGAAGGATCAGAAGGCCTGCCCTAGAAGCAAACACCTGCAGCACTTTCTTTGTCCCATAGTGCCACTATTCCCTGTGTGGTATAAAATGGTCAGCAAGGACTTTTATTCATTCCATATTTTATTATTTATATATTTTTTTATTAAAAAATTTTTTTTAATGTTTATTTTTGAGAGACAGAGACACAGAGCGCGAACAGGGGAAGGGCAGAGAGAGAGGGAGACACAGAATCCGAAGCAGGCTCCACGCTGTCAGCACAGAGCCAGCCTGGGGGTTCAAACTCACAAACTGCGAGATCATGACCTGAGTTGAAGTTGCACGCTTAACCAACTGAGCCACCCAGGTGCCCCTTATTCATTCCATATTTTGAAAATCCTCTAGTATGGTGCCGTATGTGATATATGTTCTGTGTTAAGTGCGTACTTAGATAACATGTACACATGCATACACATACAGAGACTTTTGTGATTTTGATTGAAATTATATTGAATCTATAGGTCATTTTGAGAAGAACTGACATTTTTATGAGATAACTCTTCCAATCCACAGACTAAGTATATAATTCCATTTATTTAGGTATGATTTAGTGTTTTTCTTTTTTTTTTAATAAAAAAATTGTATTTACTTAGAAGCATTCAGAATGTCAACAAAACAGCTACAACTTTTTTTTTTTTTTGCAATTACAGAGTGGTATTCAGTTAACAGAACAACAATTATTTCGTATAAGCTGCATCAGAGACAACTGAAGATGAAAAAACTACCATCCCCATATATAACTAATTTGTGCTGTGCACCAACAAGAACCTGCCTTAAATTTCCATGCCAATTTACAACCCCCATACTGTACCAGGCAAGGTTAGTGGCTATTGGAAATACCACCAGGACAGGGCTATCTAAAGACACATTTGGTAGTGTGTTAACTATACAAAAAAAGACACTGCACAGTTTAAAAACAAATCTTACACAGCCTTACATTTCAATTTTTTTCTTTAAAAAGAGTGAGTTGTGTGCAGGGGGGTTAAATGCTTTATAGACAAAAAAAAAAAAACTGCACTAGAACCAACTTAATCATCATCATCATCTTCTTCTTCATCTTTTTCATCTTCCTCCTCTTCCTCTCTTCATCTTCCTCATCTTCCTCTTCTTCCTTCTTTTTCTTGCTTTTTTCAGCCTTGACGACTCCCTTTTTTGCTGCGTCAGGCTTTCCTTTAGCTCGGTATGCAGCAATATCCTTTTCATATTTTTCCTTCAGCTTCGCAGCCTTCTTCTCATAAGGCTGCTTGTCATCTGCAGCGGTGTTATTCCACATCTCTCCCAGTTTCTTTGCAACATCACCAATGGATAGGCCAGGATGTTCTCCTTTGATTTTTGGGCGATACTCAGAACAAAACAAGAAAAAGGCCGAAGGAGGCCTCTTGGGTGCATTGGGATCCTTGAACTTCTTTTTTGTTTCCCCTTTAGGAGGGATATAAGTTTTCATTTCTCTTTCATAACGGGCCTTGTCCGCCTTTGCCATGTCTTCAAACTTTCCTTTCTCTTTAGCAGACATGGTCTTCCACCTCTCTGAGCACTTCTTAGAAAACTCTGAGAAGTTGACTGAAGCATCTGGGTGCTTCTTCTTGTGCTCCTCTCAGCAAGTTTGCACAAAGAATGCATATGATGACATTTTGCCTCTCGGCTTCTTAGGATCTCCTTTGCCCATGTTTAATTATTTTCTTTGCCAAGAAAGTTTTTCTGATCCTTCTTGAATTGTACTCTCCAAGTGCCCTGTCCTCCTCTTGAAGGTTCTGATTTAGTGTTTTTCAATAAAGTTTCATTAAAGTATGTCTTGAACAATTTGGGTAATTTTATTCATAGGCATGTTATATGTTTTTTGATACTATTATGAATGATATCCTTTTTAAGTTAAAATTTCCAATTACTTTTGGTATATAAAAATGCAGCTGATTTTTGTATAATTTTGTATCCAGCAATCTATATTACATTTTAAAGTATCACCTTTTCTCCATCTGTCCTCTTTTCCTGCTATTACTTGCATACTAGGTCTCCTGGATCTATGTCTAAGTCTTATATTTTCCATTATGATTTCTGTTTGTATTTCAGCTCTTTGCTTTGAAATAGCTCTTCTGCTCAACTTTCCAGTCACTAGTTCAGATCTTGCCAGTAAATATTCTCTCCTTCAATTCATCTGCATTTTTTTCCCTGAGAGATCATAGTTTTCATTCCAGAAATTCTTTGTTTTTATCTTCTCTCATAATCTTTACATGTAAGCTCTTATTCATCAGAATTTATCTTTATATTTATTGCTCTTTTTATTGCTCGAAATCTCTTTTTGCATATCTGTGCTTCCATTTGGGATCCTTTTCCTTTTGGTAGAACTCCCTTTGGGGTTCCTTTAATGAAGATCTGCTGCTGGCAAGTTTTCTGTTTTTGTTTGTGTGAAAATATATTAATTTGGCTTCATTTCTGAAGAACTTGTTTATACTGAGTATAAAATTCTAGTTTGGCAGTTATTATCTTACAACACTTTGTACATATCATTCCATTATCTTTTGGCTTCCATCAGTTTGTTGAGAAGCTACCTATTAGCTTTATTGTTCTTTTGAAGGTATGTCCCTCTACTAACCCCCTGCCCCATGACTTCTTTTAAGATTTTATCTTTATCTTTGGTTTTTAGCAACTTCACTATGATATGCCTGAAGTATGCTTTTCTTTGTATTTGTTCTGCTTGAGTTCAGAGAATTTCTTATATTTGTGACTCTGGTTCCTTCACTACTTTTGGAAATATTTTGGTTATTTTCTCTTCAAATAGTGTTTCTATCCCATTGTCTCCCTCTTCTGGTCCTCTAATCAGCTATATATCAGAGATTTTATTTTTTACAGTCTTATGTGTATTTTATGTTCTTTTCTCTATTTTCCTCTTTTCTCCCCCCTTATCGTCACTCTGGATAATTTCTTCTGACCTATCTTCTAGTTCGCTAGTTAGCTCTTTGTGTCCAATGTGCTGTTAAGCCCCATTGAATTTTTAAATGTGATTATTTTTCAGTTCTAGAATTTTCATTTAATATTTTATACAGTTTCCTCTGCTGAATTTCTCTATCTTGTCATTTAACTTCTTAAACCTATTCATTATGGTTGCTTTATTTATTTATTTATTTATTTATTTATTTATTTATTTATTTCGGAATTTTCTACACTCAGTGTGGAGCTCAAACTCATGACCCTGAGATCAAGAGTCACATGCTCTACTGACTGAGCCAGTCAGGTGCCCCTCATTATGGTTATTTTAAAGTACATGTCTGATAATTCCAATATCTGACTCTTCTATGGATCCTTTTCTCTTCTGCTTCAGTTTTTGTCATTTGATCTTGTTTGTGGAATACTGGTATTTTTTGTTTAATACTGAAAGTGGTTTATGAAAAATTAAAGAGATAATTTGAGTCCCTGGATGGTGTTATATTTCTGCAGCAAGAAGTTACTTTTGCTTCTGGAAGTCAGTTAGGGTAAGATTAGACCATCTTAATCAAACCAGGGATTCAGTTGATGAGAAGCTGAGCTTTAGTATTTACAAGGGCTGGTATCTTCTAATGTATAGGCGTTTGGGAGTCCCAACTAAAAGTAAGGGGGGAAGGCGCCTGGGTGGCTTAGTCAGTTAAGCGACTGACTTCAGCTCGAGTCATGATCTCACGGTTTGTGAGTTTGAGCCCTGTGTCGGGCTCTGTGCTGACAGCTCGGAGCCTAGAGCCTGCTTCAGATTCTGTGTCTCCCTTTCTCTCTTCCTCTCCCCCATTCATGTTCAGTCTCTCTCTCTCTCAAAAATAAACATTTAAAAAAATTTAAAAAAATATACAAGGGGGAAGTGAGTTCCTTTATCTTGGTGGGTCCTGAGCAGTTTTTCCCCCCAAGCTCTGTAAGACTACAGGAAGACCAGTTCTCAGCCTTTTAGCTTCTGCTTTCTGCTCAGCTTCTTAGCCTCTCATTACTACTGTTGAATCAGTAATGCCTTTAAGGGAAAAGAGACATTTAATGTCAGGTTTACCTCTTTGTACTTCAGAAGTCTGAGATTTTAGCTCCTCAATTGGCTTGGGAGCTCTCTGATTCCTGTGAATAGATTTTTACATTTTTAATTTTGTTCATATTTTCTGATTGTTTTTTGCTGCAGGGTTGGCCTGCAACAAGATACTCCACCATTACTGACAGCAGAATGCCCTAGAGAGTAAAAATAAGACAATTGAAGAACAGGGATACTCAGCCTACCTTGAGTTATTTGCTTTTTTGTAAATATTGTATCACTGTCAGCAAAGATGATTTTCTTTTCTTTTCTTTTTTTTAAGATTTTGTTTTTAAGTAATCTCTACATCCAATGTGGGGCTTGAACTCACAACCCTGAGATCAAGAGTCACATGTTCTACTGGCTGAGCCAGCCAAGTGCCCCAAATATGATTTCTTTTCTTTTCTTTTTTATGTTTATTTATTTTTGAGAGAGAGCATGAACAGGGGAGGGGCAGAGAGAGAGGGGGACAGAGGATCTGAAGTAGGCTCTGTGCTAACAGCAGCAAGCCCGATGTGGGGCTCAAACTCACGAACCTTGAGATCATGACCTGAGCCAAAGTCGTATGCTCAACTGACTGAGCCACCCAGGCACTCCCCAAATATGATTTTCTATTTATCTTTGAGATGCTTGAATTTCAAGGGTATCAAGTGAATTTTTCATTTAAAATTTATCTTAAAAATTTTTTTTAATGTTTATTTATTTTTGAGAGAGAGAGACAGAGTGCAAGTGGAGGAGGGGCAGAGAGAGAGGGAGACATAGAATTTGAAGCAGGCTCCAGGCTCTGAGCTGTCAGCAGAGCCCCACGTGGGGCTCGATCTCATAAACTGTGAGATCATGACCTGAGCTGAAGTTGGATGCTTAACCGACTGAGCCACCCAAGTGCCCCTAAAATTGACCTCCTTATTGATATTTTTTCCACTATAGCCACTGTTTTCTTTATTATTTTCCCTACCACCTCCTTCATAACTCTGGGAGTCTTCCAATTTTGCTTAGAAAAGACACGTCTAAATTATCCCATCAAATTGTATCTGCATCTCCAGGTGACAAAATAATGCTTACTCTCTCCCTTCAGCTCTAGAGAATAAGGCAATAATCACTGAAACTGAGTGAAAACATGTCATAGCTTTATTTCTCAATCCTAAATCTCAAGTTAATCTTGTTAGTTTTTATGCAATTCTAATACTAGCTTGATAGTTATCTTTATAACAGATTTTCATGTGGCTAACAAGCCTACAACAATTTCCTATACCCTAGAAATGGCCTGTACTATATGATCTTGCCCCCTCTAGCCAAGGTTGACCAACCCACAGGAAAAAACTCTAACCCAGACTGGGCCAATGAGATCCTAACTCCCAGTAATCTGACATTTGCAACAATTAAATACAGAGATACAATTTTTAGAGCTGAGTAATTATGATACACAGCCTCTAAGATGGCCCCCATTGTTCCCCTTCTAGTATTCATGTCCTTATGTAATTCTTTCTCCTTGACTATAGGCTGGATCTACTGATTTTTCTAATAGACTATAGCAAAAATAATAACATATCACTTTAAGGTTAGGTTACAAAAAGACTGTGGCTTCTGTTTTGGGGGTTCTCTCTTGCTTTCCTTCTAATTTGTTCTGAGGGAATCCAGTTGCCATGTTGTGTATTGCCCTTTGAAGAGGCCCATGTGTTAAGGAACCACAGGTCTCCAGGCAACAGGCAGCAAAGAACTGAGGCCCTCAACTGAACAGCAAGGAACTGAGGCTCTCAAAATAGGTACTGAATTCTGCTAACAACCAGAGGAATGAGCTGGGAAGTGAATCCTCCCTCAGTTGAGCCTTCATATTGACTTCATCCCTGGCCAACAGGATGGTTGAAACCTTACGAGAGATCTTAAGTCAGAGGGACCCAGCTTGGCTGCACCCATATTTCTGATCCTTACATAATCTCTCCAAGTGCTTGTTGCTCTAGTCTTTCCAGTGTAGCATTCAAATCATCTTTCTTAGTTCTCACCTCATTTTTCTCATCATTGAGGGTTTCCTCACAAGTTTTGGCCTTTAACTCATTTGGTCTGCTTTCTGGGAAATTGTCACTGGGGTGGGCCTTTCTGTGATATGCTGCAGCAAGGATTCCTGAGAATGCCACCCAGAATCCTTGGTTTTGCCTCCCTCTCCAGGTCTGACCTTGCACATATTGGCCTTCAGCATCCTGGACACTTGAAAGAGCTGTTGCTTCCCTAAATAATGCCAACATGGGAGTCAGACAGACTGCCTAGCAGGCCTCCACCTAGGTACCTGATACATTCTCTTTGAACTGTTTCTGAGTACCTGGCCTGATCTCTTCAAGCTCTTTTTTCCAAGGTTATTAGCTTCTCTTTGTCACATTGTCTTGTACCCTTCTGATTTATTACATCTTTTACTGGATTGGAACTAATGGTCTACAGTACTGTTATTTTTACCAGATAGAAGCAATGCTATGTCTTAGTCATTTTTATCTGGACTCTATGGGGACAGGCTCTAACTCAGTTTCAGATCACACTCACTTCCCACTGTGGCTGTGCTACTTATGATGGTAGTTGAATACATCTGGCTGGTTCATGTATGCAACTACTTTCTTTCTTTCTTTCTTTCTTTCTTTCTTTCTTTCTTTCTT